AAAAAGCCTCCACACGGTTTCTTATAAGTAGTCTGCGCAGACTATCTAAAAAGTGAACCGGTTGTGCGCTTGAATCCAAATTGTAGGTTAAAATTGTTTGAGAGAAAATAGTCATATATGTTTGAGAATTGAATCTGTAGTGGTAGACAAGTAAATAAGGCAAACCTATCATATTCATAAATTAAGCAAATTTTTAGACACATTTGCTACCGATTTCTTGCTTTTAAAAATTTTCTATTAAAGGGCTCTTTCGTTAGCTGATTTACCATCGCCTCACCTCAGCCTTCTACGCAGATGATACAGCACTTATGAGCAGATCAAAAAATCCTAAGAAGTCAGTTACTAATCTCAGTAATATCATACCTCATATCGAAAACTGGTGCACAAAATGAGAGGTAGCCATCAACACCACTAAATCTTCACTACTAATTATTAGGAAATCAAGTAAAAAGAAAGTCATTTATCCAAATATTACTCTTTTCAATAATGCAATACCACTAGTTCGAAAGGCCACCTACCTAGGCGCCAGTCTTACTAGTACTTTAAGCTGGAATACCCATATTGAAAATATTCTTAGCAAAGCGCAAGGAGCCTATAGATCTCTGAAACCAATATTAAACTATAATTCAAAACTATCACTCAAAACAAAACGAACGCTATACCTCCAATGCATTCGACCGATCATCAGCTACGCAGCCCCTGCATGGAGCACAACCACTGTTACTCAAAAAAGAAACTGGAGATTACTCAAAATAAATTCCTCAGATATATTACTGGAGCCCCCAGATCCATGAGAATGAAAGATCTAAGACGAGAGTTAAAAATCAACAAAATAGATGAGCACATAGCTGAACTATGTGCAAGTTTCTTCAGAGACAGGGGTGAAAGCGAGACGGAAAAGAGGAAAGGCTGGTAGTAAAACCATTTCAGTTAAAGCTAGTTTTGGGGAGGAGTTTACTTATTCTTTTTTTTTAAATTTTCAACAATATCTACTTTATCTTGAACAAGAAGCAGTTTTATATATATGCCAGAATTATAAAAGAAATCTTGATAGTTACAGATATATCATTTTTTTCGAAAAAAATGCTGGAATGAAATGTTTTACGTACCAGGTTTTTCTCTTTTCCGTCTTGCTATATAAGGGCTTTCACCCATGTTCAGAGATGCACTCTCTTGTCATACGTGCAATTACTTTAAAAATTTTGATTTTGAGCTCATCAAAGGCAACATAAAATATAGCCCGGCAACCGCCTTTTACCTGTCCGACGGAGTTTTGTCCCGTAAATTTTGTAAATAGCTGTAAATACTTGTAAATAATTTTGTGTATTTATTATGTACTTCTCCTTTTCTCTAAGGTTATGTGGCTACTGTGCACCTGAGAAGCTCGGGGGTAATACCTCGAAGGGAGGCGAGGCAGTGTGCCACAAAACCTCTTCTCTCTCTTAACCCTTTCGCGCCGACTGTCACAAATACGTGACAGCAAAAAACCGTATCAATCAGGGTGAAAAGATAAAGCTGGTAATCAAAGTATTTCTTTAGCAGTTTATTTGTGGGCGGAGTTATAATTGTTTGATTTATTTAATTCACCATTACTTTGTACAAAATAAAACTATTTAGTTGTACTTTGAATTAACATTGATTATATATATGATTACACTAACAATAATTAAAATAAAAGCAAAGTAAGTCTGTCAAATTAGTAACGACTACATTTAAGTTACCGTTTTTTATTTAATTGCAACTTGATTCTGATTTTGTACGAATGCTTTTCTGAATCACCCGTCCCCAACTGGTTAAACTTGTTTGTTCAATCACACTACTTCATTTTAATTTTCTCTCAGTAAAAGACACTGAACCCCAACTTGCACCTTTCAGTTGCGCTTCGGCGATTTATTATTTATTTCCACTCAGATGAATTAGTTAGAGCCCCTAGCGGGGTTGATGCTAAGATAACCATCACATATGAGTATGAGTAATGATTTACCATCATAGTAGTCTGATCGGACTACCTATAAAGAACTGTGTGGAGGCTTTCAATTGTAGGAGGAGTTAGGTAACCCCTAAGAACGATTCACCTCCGTTAACGACCATTTTACTGAGGAACAGAGAGTGGTTGTTCTCGAGAGGTTTAACTGTAATTATCTTTGCAATAGAAATCATATTTTTGTTCAGATTGATGGAATAGCACAAGGATCTAATTATTCATCACTCTTAGCTAACTTATTTTTACACTATAGTAAAAAAAAATATATACTCTCAATATTAAATTTGCCTTTAGATTTATTGATGATTTAATTATCTTTAATTTTCACAATTATACAATTTTTTAATTGTTATTTACCCCGAGGAATTAACCCGTTGGGGACGGGTGATTCAGAAAAGCATTCGTACAAAATCAGAATCAAGTTGCAATTAAATAATAAACGGTAACTTAAATGTAGTCGTTGCTAATTTGACAGACTTACTTTGCTTTTATTTTAATTATTGTTAGTGTAATCATATATATAATCAATGTTAATTCAAAGTACATCTAAATAGTTTTGTTTTGAACAAAGTAATGGTGGATTAAATAAATCAAACAATTATAACTCCGCCCACAAATAAACTGCTAACGAAATACTTTGATTACCAGTTTTATCTTTTCACCCTGATTGATACGGTTTTTTGCTGTCACGTATTTGTGACAGTCGGCGCGAAAGGGTTAATCTTGCTTCGTAATCATGAAGAGAATATTATTTTTAATTTTTTGGATTTAAGTATTAAAGAAGAAAAAAATATCTGCATTGTTGATTTATATGATGAAAGAAATGATTTTAAATTTAATATAAATAAACTAATTACACGGAATTTTAATGTTTCTAAAAACATTTATTTGAATACCAGTTTCAATCAAGTGAATAGAATTAAAATAATTTGTAGTAACGTTTGTTTATCGAAAAAACAAATAGACGAACTCATCCCAAATTTGATTTAAAAAAAAACAGTGGACATCCGAATAATGTAATTAAATTCTATATAAAATCGTTGAGTTAATTGTATATTATAGTTAAAAAATTTTTTTTCTTGACTAAATATATATTTTTACCATGCACAAATCCCATTCGGGTAAATCAATGACTAAAAATCTTCTAATATTTAATAAAGAATTTTTTTTGAATAATTTTTTTTCATTAAATGTTAATAAATTCTATAAAACCTTCAAGATGAAAATTTTTCAATTAAAATTCAAGCTTATTAATATAAACTTTGAATTATCCAGTATAATATTATTACTTGGCGTTTATCCAGATTTGGGCCAAATCAAGGTGACTAACAAATCAAACACGCTTTTGCACTTCGGTAAAAACGCGTCATGATTTTAGTTGATTTCGTAACCCTCCATTTACGCTTCTTTTTTCGTATTTTGCAACCCGGAAAACTTGTTACGAAAATACTTTACATCATTTTTAGCAAATGCCGACAAGTGTAGTACATTTGAATTTGCTGCTGGTTTTATTTACTACATTTTAGGATTTATTCTGAATTTTCCTGATTTTTTATTTTGTATTTTTTGCTTGATTGCTTTATTATTATTTTGTATTTTTTGCTTTATTTTACATTTTTTGCTTAGTAAGTTCTGTTTTCGTTTCAGCTTTTGGTGCTCCTTACAGTATTGATATATTTTGCTTTGTTTCTTTTTTTTTTTTTTTTTTTTTTTTTTTTTTTTTTTTTTTTTTCTTTTTTGATATAATCTTGAACTTATGAGACAATATTATATCTCTTCCTTTTATTTATTTTTTTTTGAATATTCGAACTTTCTTTAAAAAAAATTAATATTTTTTCTTCTCTTTTAAAAAAATATTTACATTTTTTCCATGTTTTCTGTATTTTTTAATCTTACTTTACGAGTTTTATATGCTTGCAGCTTATTCGCAGCAAATAGCTCTTATTGTTCATTCTTCTTAATTTTCTTCGTTAATCTCTCGTTCCTTTCCTTTTGACCTTAATGTGTTATATATATAATAATAATAATAATAATATCTTTAAATAAACTTTGTATATTTAAAATGAAGTTTGCATTGTGCATTAAATGCTACAAAAGAAATGCCAACAGAAATGCCAACTTACTCCAGACAGCTGATAAATACTTTCCCATGGTAGACTTTTAGTACATAATTCTTGGTTAAATAAATTCGATTTATTGATATTTTACTCACCACTACTTTTAAATAATTCAAAAGCTTATGTAATGCGCCAATTTGTTCACTTTGTTACAATTATAACGTTGAAACTGCTTCTTATTATTTCCAATTATTTTAATTTCCTCGAGGAAAGTGCTCGATCTACTTATCCAGCAACCATATGGACAGCTGACCTCACAGTGTTAAAATAATCTTTAAAACAAATTCATGACGGATAGGAGCCCAATCCCAATTGATAATAGGGAAATTAAAACTTGCAATTTTTTTTTTTAAAGTTGACAAAATTTACCGAAAATCTGAAAATTTTAGTTGTAGTTCTTTTCTGTTTCTTAAAATATTTTGTTAAATCCGGAGCAGTTGGTGTCTCTGTAATCTATATAATGTTTGCTATGAACCTATAAATGAATAAAGACAGGCCATACGGGAAAAAGTTTTTGATCCTAAAGGGAATTATTTTCTTTTAACGAATAACTTAAAAATAATTATTGCATCGCTTACGATTAAAACGTTTCTTGTAAAATATGACAGGATTTGGCGTTTATTTCTTTGGAAACTGCGAGTAATACAGGGTTGCCAATAGCGAATAAAAATGCAAAAAGTGGTGTCTAATAAAATTCAAAATTTTATTAAAAGAGATTAAAATTATCAACTTTTTCTAGCATAATACTTTCAGTCTAACTTTGAAAGTGAATACAACGAAAGTTTTTACTTTTAATCCAAGTCGTAGTTGTTTCGACAGGGTTTGTTACAGCAGTTTTTTCTTTTAAAAAAGTACAATCCAAACTTGATTATATAGTGTTTATTAAACCAATACATTTTCAGAACTGCATTCTAGAACAAACAAATAACAAAAACACACTTCAACATATACAAAGGTGATGATGATTCGGCAGGTATAAAATGAAATTATACATGAAATAGATATTTAATACCATTCACCAGGAAACAACGGTACTTGTCGAAGCAGATAGCTTCTCAGCATACTTGAACATGAAATAAAACAACATCTATATTTATTTTCTGGTCCCTTTTGTTGGGTTATACAACTCCTAACAACATTTCAAAAGTGTATGAGTTTTTTATTTTCTTCGCTGAAGCAAAATCTGGCAATATCAGTTTATAATCACCACGCGCGAGTTTGCAAAATAAATATTCTTTCACATTTTTACGAGAACAAATGGAAATGATTATCTTCTATTTCAATACTTTAAGAGGTAACTAAAGGACGTAAGCAAATATACTCGGTTTAGTTGTCCTTGCATTATCAGAAGTTGGTTTAGTATATTCTGATGTCTGAAAACTGTCTTCAAAATTATTATTGAAATGCTACTTTAAAGGAAACGAAAATGTTACTTATTGTAAAGCAAGCGAATTCGGAGAATCTTTGTAACAAATTTCATGGGTTATAATACAATAAATGGTTTCAAGGAAGATTATGTCATTCAATGTCTGGCTTGAAATAAGCTGTTCTTCTTACTGATGTAAGAAGAACGCAGTCTTAGAGTTTTTGCCTTTCATAACATGTTTTTCAAGTCATCTAACGGGCTTCAAGAAACTGTGAAGCCGCTACAGCTGGAGGATGCACAAATATTCAAACTGTAATCCTAAGGTTTTGCTCTACTATTTGTAGAAAACAAGTCTTGGGCACTGGGTTAATTTAAGCACACGTTATGTGAAATTTAGTCCCATTGTTTTCTTACTGATATGGTGAATTATTAAAAGTAAAGTTGAAACTATCACATAGCATGGTGTACATCTGATACCATCTGCAGAAACTGGAAAAACAAAGGAATATGTAAATAAATTAATTTTAAACGTTATCTACTTGCTTTGCTAACATAAAATAAAGTTAGTTTTTCTTAAAGAAAAATAAAATGTATTCCGTTGTAAAGCTGCAAACTTAAATGTATACATTCATTAGTTTTGTTTTTGGTGAACGGAAGATAGTGTTGTGTATGTTGAATATAAACAAACATCTTCCACTTCACCACCCTAGCAAGAAGTTAGTTTACCTTGACTGCAGTTGAGCTCAAATCTAGCTCAATATAGGTCCTATAAGAACATGCATCGATTGATCAATATTGGGATGATTAGATTTTGTAATATTGGTCCCATATGGCCAATATAAGGACCATATTGGCTGAATAATGAATATAAAAAATCGGATTAATCTGACATAATTCTATATATTGCCGATAAGAATTTCTGGTTGTAAAATATCAGGTGAAGCAGATGATTTTATGTAGGGTCAATATAGGGTTGGAAAAATGACTGCCGTTTGAAACCCTATTGAGCCAAGATTCATGAATATTCATCCAATCTAGTCCCAATTTGTTTTTCTGCTATTGAATTTTTATCTAAACACAAAATATGCTATGCACGAATATAGGAAAATAATTCAGTAAAAGTTTACAGGGTTTTAGAAAATAATCATAGATAGGTCGCTAAGCGTTAAATGTAGAGTTGCACAAGTTAAAAAAGGAACATCTTATTGACTTTTAATCTAGTGATCGGATCATCAAATACTAAGATGCATTCTTAATGGTTTGACCTTAAATATGCTAATTGATTTGGTCAGACTACATTTAACCCCTTTGGGTTGGGTGATTCAGAAAAGCATTTTGTACAAAATCAGAATCAAGTTGTAATTAAATAAAAAACGTTCACTTAAATGCAGTCGTTGCTATTTTGACAGACTTATTTTGCTTTCACTTTAATTACTGTTAGTTTAATCATATAAATAATCAATGTTAATTCAAAGTATAACTAAATAGTTTTATTTTGAACAAAGTAATGGTGAATTAAATAAATCAAACAATTATAACTCCTCCCCCAAATAAACTGCCTAAGAAATACTTTGATAACCAGTTTTATCTTTTTTCCCTGATTGATACGGTTTTATGCTGACACGTATTTGTGACAGTCGGCGTTAAAGGGTTAAAGCCTCGAATTCAGATACAAATACCTTCTTGCTTTGAATAACGTGGCATTTCGGACAAGCAACAATTTAACCTTCGATCCAGTTGAGTTCAAAACTAGCTCAATATGGGTCCTGTAAAAGCATGCATCGATTGCCAAATATTGGGATGTTTTAATATTGGTCCTAGAACGATCTATATAGGGCCTATATTTACTAAATAATGAATATAAAATATCAGGAGAATCGGACATAATTCTATATAGAGCCGATACTGGTTGTAAAATGTCAGGTGAATCAGATAATTCTATATAAGGCTATTATCGGAAAATGACTACCCTTTGAACAATTATTTGAACCCTTATTTGCTACTTTTAGCGAGCTTTCAGTGAAAGTATTTATATTATTATTATATTTTTTTTTAAACTCAATACTAAGCAATATATTTAGTATTATTTCATAGTCTTTTTGAATTCGTTTTAAGAGTTTTGTTCAAAACACAGATAATCACATTCTTGGTTTAGAAAAAAAAATGTTTTGAAATGTAAACATTAAAATTTGTTGTAGAGCTGTTAGCGTGACATGAAGAATGGGTAGCTTTTAAGCTCAAATTTGCACCTATTTTCAAAAAAAAAAAAAGATATTTACTTAGTTTTTAAACTTTAATTTAAATTTATAGTTTCAAGAGCCCTTGCTCCCTAAAAATAAATTAAAGTTCTAATCAAAAAAAATTTTAAAGAAAAAATGAGTCGTAATCAGTCGGATACCTAAAAATTATATGAGTATCTATATATAATGTTTTGCGCTTACATGCTGTATACATGCACTTCATCTCTGTAGACTCGAAATTTTGAATCTGCCTTAGAAGAAGAAAAAAAACTTTTGAATTAAGTTACTACGAGTATATACTTTAGTAGAGGATACTTTGTACAAAACTGACTCACGTTTGTGCTACTCGTAGAACAAAGTTACAGAAACCGTCTGTGGTTGCCCGAATAATGTTATAAGTTAAACGTATATTACTCCTAATAATTTTTTTTCGTTTTTATATAACCGTCGTTGAACAGCCGACACAATTTTTTGGATTTAAGACTACTAATGTTCAACTCCGCATCCTTGTAACTTTGAACCCAATCCAGAAGACAAGAGAACATCTGGATCAAGTGTTGGGAGAAATTTGACTTCGTGGAGGACTTTTTGATAGAGCTAACCCGCATTTGCGTTACACGGAGAGGAAAATCACGAAAACTTCCCATGGTTAGCCTGACGGTAAGGGGACTCTAACCCATGATCCGTCTTGAGAATATTTTACGTCAGCACTGTGGCCATTACAAGACGGGAGCATAATTCGTATCAACGAGCCATCTCTGGTATTTGAACTCGGTTCACCTCATTGGAAGGCGAACGCTCTATCCCCTGAGCCATCACGGCCTTACTTCTAATGATAAAATTTATACCAAAGCCGAGATAGCTGAGGGGATAAAGCGTTCACCGTCCAATGATTGAACCGGGCTCGAATCCCAGCAATAGCTGGTCGATACGAATTCCACATCCGGCTGGAACCGACGGCAGTACATACGCAAGATATCCTCAGTGATAGACGGATCGTGGGCTAGAGTATCCTTGTTATAACGCTAACTGTGGGAGGTTTTCGCTGTTTCCTCTCTATGTATGGCAAATGCGTATTAGTTCCATCAAAAATTCCTCCACGAAGGCAAATTTCTCGCAATACCTGATCCAGAAGCTTCCTTGTCTTCTGGATTGTGTTCAAAATTACGAGGACACTGAGTTGAACATAAGTAGCTATTGTAAACCCATATATAAAATTTCTGTCAAAGCTGTTTTCGGTGTAGAAATCAATCATGCTTACTAGAGTTGGCAACTTGGGCAACTTGAAGCTCTGCTGTCTCATGTCGCCCTTCAAATATCACTTCTTCCCTTCTTCTCAGAATTTCTCTTGTCAATGTTGATTCACATTGAAGTTTCAATTCACCTTGTCTTAGATGATGTTGCTGGACATGGAATCTAAGTCCAAGAACTGTTGCTACTAAAGACGAGGTTTGAGATCGTACAGTGCCGTAGTCTACTAAATGTATCCTAGGAACCTTGAAAAAAGAATAAATATTAAAATTCATGCCAAAAAAAAGAAATGAAACAAAACAGGATTAAGTTTACTCTTTCTTAAAAAAAACTGTTTAAAACAATTAATTGCGTAGCAATTCTCTTCCAAAATAACTGTTAGGAATTGTCTCCTCACTTTTATTATCTTGGTGTTAATTTATTTCTTTTGAAATTTGTATTTATTACTTCATTGAAATACTTTCAGTAAATAAGATTAACTAAAAATTTTAATTCGATTTTTCTCCAGAACCAAAACTATAAGGACTGAACATGGCGTTGATTCTCACAATCAGATGCATTCGAAAGTTGATATCAACACAAATAAATGTGGGAAAATGTTTTTTCGTTATTATTAGAAAGAAAAAAGTGAGTACAAGGGTAAAAGATAAAAACAAATAGTTATCGGTGGCTTTGAGATAATTATATTTTTAAAACAGTAAGGTTTGACTAAATAATTTGAAAAGATAACTGGTAGCTGCACTTTCAACATCTTGATGTTGAGTTTTACAGAGGAAATGAAACGAAAAAAAAAACGTAAGTGCTTCCGAAGGATTTCAAAAAAAGTGGCTTGACAACTTTTTTCTTTAATTAGCTAATAGTATGAAATCTGAAACAGAATTTCATATAGCTGATAAAAAATGAATTTAAAAAACATCTCAAATTGTAGCTTTTTCTACAAAAGTACATACATAAAAATCTAAGTTTTGAAATTTTTGTCGCTTACATGTTTTTTTTCTATTGCATGACCACATTCTCGAGACATATTCAGAGTTGTCAACTTGCTCCACACAGAGAATAAATATTTTTGAGTGGTTGTCCTTTAATATATAATTTTGGTTAACTGCATATTAGTTTAGTAAATCTTATTTATTGGGATTTTACTCACCACTATTTTTAAATACTTCAAAGTCTTATGTGATACGTCACCTTGTTACAGTGGAGTCACGTTGAGGTTTTTAAAATGTTGGAAATATCAATCGAAAATCAGCAAATTTCAGTAATTCTCTAACGTTTATTAAAGTATTTTGTCAAATTTGGAGAAGTCAGCATCTCTGCATATTCACCGAATAACAAAGTGAACTTACCCAAATAGAAAAGCATCAAATATTTTTAGAGTCAAGAGAAACAGAATAAAATATTTTACTGAGTAGGGAAAACCGAAGTACCTTCCTAATTCAAAATACATCTTAAGAATGACATCTCTGTACTACTTTTTTCTCCCTTGTAGAAAAAAACCGTGATGAAAGTCACAATAGGTAAAAGTAGAAGCAAAAACATTTCATTAAACATACACATATTAATTAGGCTAAATAATGCTATTTTCCCTGATCAGTATCCTCTCAAAATACTACTAACCTATTTCTTCCACTACAATCATCGAAGATAAATTGTTTGAATTATAAAATAGTAATAGCATCTTTTACTCTTCCCTAAAAACAGCTATAACATACCTGCCAACTCTTCCGGATTTTCCAAAAGATTTTATTTTCATATTTAAAGTGGTAGTAATTATATGCTATTTTTTCTTTTATAATCTTAATTTTTAAATGATATTGATCACCACTATTCTTACAAAAATTAAGCACATATATTAATATGCGTTACTATCAAGGTTGTGAACTTAAGTTTTCTCAAATACAACGTATTTGTTTGCTTAAAATTGAAGTTTTAATTCCATTTTAGTACCACTGGGAAAAATGATAATGGAAGGGATTAAAAGTTGGCAGGTATGCTATAAGTTTTGCTACCAGTTTTTCTTTTTCCCGTCTAACTGCATCTAACCATCACCACCTACATCAAAAAGCCTCCACACGGTCTTTAATAAGTAGTCCGCGCAGACTGCTTAAAAAGTGAACTAGTTGTGCGCATGAACCCAAAACCTTTTATAAAAGTAAGTGAGAGAAATTTATCATATATATTTGAGAATTGAATCTGTAGTGGCTGACAAGTGAATAAGGCAAACCAATAATATTCATAAATAAAACAAATTTTTAGTCGTATATTTGCTTCCACTTTCTTATTTTAACTAAATTTTGTATTAAATGACTCGTTCGGAAAGTGGATATCCTTCACAGTGGTCTGATCGGAATACCTATAAAAAACGGTGTGGAGACTTTCAGTTATAAGAAGCGTTGGTCGAACTCATATAATTGAAAAGCGTGCAAGTTTTTGAATCGAACACTAAGGATTCTTTTATCCAATTCAAGAATGTCTAAGACTGCTTCGCACAGTAAAGAGCCAGTGTTAACTCTGTTAATTGTTTATGCAATTTCAACGCAATTGCTTACATAAATAAACGTTCGCCGTCCTAAAGTCACGTGCTTTCGTATGTAATTGGTTTCGGGCAAAGAACCGCAAATGCGTCTCGCAATCTAAAATACTTATTGGCATAGTATTATTGGCATTATATAAGAAAACATACCATCAAATAATTATCTTTCTGTTTTCTATTGAAATTTCGAGTTTTGATAACTAATGTTAATTTTTTTTATTTCACACTACGAGTATACTCGTCGCTGGAAATACGACGAGTATACTCGTCTGCGGTACATACGACGAGTATACTCGTCGTAGAAGAGATTTTTTCCGACGTCAAAGGCACTTTACAGATTAATGTTAATTTTGCGTATTCCTACATCTGAAAGAAGTAGAATTCTTAAATTTTTATTTCTCAAGAACTTTTCAAGCGATTTCCTCCAAAATTATAGTTTTTCTCATTTTAAAGTAAGTGAATTAAATTGATGTAAATTGGTCTATTAATTCGAAATATTTTCAACCATTGGAAAATTAAATACATATAATACTTTTTTATATATTTTTTTGCATAAACTTTTTGATTCGCTTCGTAAGTTTCGGAGAAAAAAAATCGCAAGATGTGCAATTATGATTAATGTACCAAAACTTTCTTCCGCTCTCTTTCCTAAGTTATTTGAACCATATTTGGGCTTCGCGAAATATTTTGAAGGTCATGAATCTAAAGATATGTTTATTCAGAAAAAGTTCTTCTTTGTGTCTGATTTCGTAACTAAAATGTTGCTTGTTCTAAGTAATTAGAATATTTATGACTGAGCCATCGATCTATTAAAATTAAGTCATATTATGGGAAACTCCTATTATTAAATTAAAAGTGATTAAAGTGTTTCTTTCTTGCATACTACAGTTTTGTCAATTTTTTCCATTAATAGCTAAAGATTTTTGATAAAAATTTAGATTTGTTGCATATTTAATGCTTTCCCGTTTTATTTGTCGTTTAACAAGTTAGATTTACAATGATTTTCACCACCATTACATATAAGTAATGTCAATAAATAAATAAGACCTAGTGACCTTGCAGGACAATTTTGAAGTGCTGTCAAAATGAAGCAAATGAAATTGAATTGCCCTTACAAAATAATAAAGCGTCTTTGAGGTTGTTTTGAAGTTGACAGATGCAAAAAATACACCTGCAGTTGAAAATGAGGTTATGATTTGCATCTCATTAACACCCAACAAAATCAACCTCATGTACAACTTAGAGATAATTTTAGTTTAGATCGGGTGAAATTAATCATACCTTCCTTAATCACACCTCAACATATTTTCTGGAAGTGTAGAAAAAATAATCCATACACCTCAAAAATTAACTCCCTAAGCTTGTTGCTTTAACCCCTTGGGGACGGGTGATTCAGAAAAGCATTCGTACAAGATCAGAATCAAGTTGTAATTAAATAAAAAACGGTAACTTAAATGTAGTCGTTACTAATTTTACAGACTTACTTTGCTTTTATTTTAATTATTGTTAGTTTAATCATATATATAATCAATGTTAATTCAAAGTATAACTAAATAGTTTTATTTTGAACAAAGTAATGGTGAATTAAATAAATCAAACAATTATAACTCCGCCCACAAATAAACTGCTAAAGAAATACTTTGATTACCAGTTTTATCTTTTCACCTTGATTGATACGGTTTTTTGCTGTCACGTATTTGTGACAGTCGGTGCGAAAGGGTTAAAGCAGATCTCCAGCAACAACTCAAAACAGCCTGAAATGAGAATAAAACAACTTCCTAGACCTTGACTATACACCTTGGGCGATTGATCTTGTAAGGTTGCTTTTGAAATCAACTTCGAATTAACCTCGAATTAACCTTGACACCTTAAAACAACCTCAAATAATCCTCAAAACTATCCTACATTTCTGTAAGGGAGTAATTTCGCTCGCACTGTAAGTTGTGCGTGGTAAACTAAATAATGAAAAATAATAGATATTTATACAAAAATAATGTTTTGCACATTGTCACGCTTTTAAATTATGAGCAAAAAACTTTTTGATTTGCTTTATTAATTCCTTCAGCGAAATACGCAAAGCATGATATTATTATAAAGAGGCCAAAATTTTCGCCTGCAATTTTTGGTCAGAGTAAATATTCTAGTGGGCATTTTTAAAAATAAATAAGAAATCTTAAGTACAAGTGGTTTTTATACATTTCCTTAATAAATTATTATAATTTTTAATAAAAAAATTTTAATAAAAATTCTTTAATGAAAAATGTTTCATCATTCTCTGGTTTCTGGTTCTCACATTTTTAATGAAAAATGGATGTTACTTTGAGTTTTACTTTTATTTAAGAGTAAAAATTGTTGGTGTATATCTGCTACCTTTCTTAGTGTTGAGATATGCTATATTCTTTTACAGTATATGTAGTAACAGGTTTAATTTACTTTTTTACTGTTTTAGCTACATTTATTTATTAATTCTTTCTTTGTTTGTTTGTTTACCACCAACGCATATTTATGACTTCATTGCAAAAACAAAAACAGTTCGTTTAAAAAACAAGCACAGTTTTAGTAATTTGCCCTAATTTTTTCAAACATTTGTTTTTTTGTCAATTTTATGTTGTTTTTTTTTATACGATCTTTACAGTTCTGTTCCTAAAAATGCGTAGTTTACTTCAACACCAAAAAAGTGACAAAAGTACGCCAAATTTTTTGCAGTGTAAG